GTAAAAATCGTCTTTTACCATTCTCACTTTTTATCTTAATTATTTTAATTTTTTTTTTTTAATTTTAGTTTCCTGGGACCACTAAAATGAAAGACATGTGTCCAAGGTTTATGGGGAGAGTCAGTTAGAGGAGGGAGAATGAGTGGGCTAAAAGCAACACATATGATGTATTTTCTGATTTTAAGTTTTTGGTGTGATGAAAAACTAACTTCACTGCTCTTCTTTATTTCTCATGGAAGACTCTTCTCTTCTCTTACAATTTACACAAAATTCACATGGTATCTAGAGCTTTGGGTATATTCTTCATCCATGGCAACCAATCAAAACCCGTGGATGGCTTTGAGAACTGGAGATGATTCTGGTCACTCTGGAACAACAGAAACTAGAGAACATGATCCTTTTTTTTTGCAATCCTCTGATCATCCTGGCGCCACACTGGTATCCTCTCCATTGACGGGCAACAACTATCTGCCCTGGAGTAGATCCATGAAGATTGCGCTGGGAGCCAAAACCAAGTTGTTTCATAGATGGCAAGATTCCAGAACCTGCAACAGATTCAGCCAACTATGAACAGTGGAAAAGAGCCGATTGGATGGTAACTTCATGGATCTTAAACTCAATTTCAAAGGATATTGTGGAAGCATTTATATATGCAAATTCAGCAAAAGAGTTATGGGATGATTTAGCTGAAAGATTTGGTGAGTGCAATGGCCCACTAATGTATCAGATTCAAAAGGAAATAACAAATGTAAATCAATGAAATATGCCAGTGATGCTGTACTTCACAAAGTTAAAGAAACTCTGGGATGAGTTAAATAGCCTGGATCCAATACCAGTATGTGATTGTGGAGCAGCCAAACAACTGTTAGAAAGAGATTCAAAAGGGAAGCTCATTCAATTTTTAATGGGATTGAATGAGAGCTTTGACAGCATAAGAAGTCAAATCCTTATATCAGATCCTTTGCCTAATGTAAACAAGGCCTACACAATGATCTTGAGAGTAGAAAGACAAAGAAGCATTCAGATAAACTCAACAGATGGTATTGAGAATGGAGCAATGCTGGGAAAGGCAAATGTGGTGCAGAGGAACACAAATGCAGGAACCAGACAAAGAATTAGCTTAAGGAAAACAAAGGAGAAAAAAGCAAAGCTGTTTTGTGATCATTGCCAAATGACTGGACATGATATAAAAGAATGCTTCAAAATCCATGGTTATCCAGATTGGTGGAAGCAACCAAAGGATCAAAAAGGAAACAGACCTCGGTGCATATGGCAACATCAGAAAACAAGCAAGGAGGCACAAAGTCCAGTGAATCGGAAGAAAAAGGGCATAACTCCACAAACATAAGCACCTTAATTCAGCAAGAGATAAGGAAGTTTATGATAGGAAGCTCAAATGCAACAGATACAAACTTCAGCTATGCTCATTTTGCAAAACAAGAAAATTTGGAGTTTCTAAATACAGTGGGATATGCTTTGCACTTCAAAGAAAACCTAGGAGTAGGATCTTGGATCTTGGACACAGGAGCAACAAGACACATGTGCTCAAATCCAAAACTACTCACTGATCTCAAAAATCTTAAAGATCCAGTAAGTGTGTGCTTACCTGATGGATCAACCAAAATGGTTAAGATGACAGGGACACTGAAATTAACCAGAGGCTTGGTGTTAGAAGAAGTGCTGCTTGTACCTTGTTTCAGATTCAACCTCTTATCAGTGGCTCAATTGTGCTTCACACATCAACTGAAGTGCATATTTTTTCCAACACATTGCATTTTGCAACACCTGCATAATAAAGAGTGTTTTATTATTGGAAAGAGTGTTGAGAGGTTATACATCTTGCAACAGGAGCTTACATATGAACAATAGATAGCAGTACCCAGCATAAGCGGTAAAGAAAGCACCAGTCATGTGCACAAAATTGCAGAATTTGAAAAGTGGCACAAAAAACTTGGACACACCTCAATCAGCCTGTCGCAACACTTGGAATTCCTTAAACACGTGTGCACAGAACAAATGCAAGAACAAATGAAATCTTGTGACATTTGCCACAAGGCAAAACAACACAGAATTCCTTTCAACAGAAGCAGCATAACCAGCACAAGTCCATTTCAACTAGTACATGTTGATATATGGGGGCCACATAGAACACCAAGCATCACTAACACACCATATCTGCTTAACTTTGTGGATGATTATACAAGAGCAACCTGGACTTTTCTGATGAGCTATAAAAGCCAGACATGGCACGTGTTGAGAAAATTTATTCAAACGGTGGAGAATCAGTTTGAAGTCAGGATAAAGAGCATAAGAACAGATAATGGGACAGAGTTCACAAGTCAAGAATGCCAAAATCTATTCAGTCAACATGGGATAGTGCATCAAAGAACATGCCCTTACACACCACAGCAAAATGGGGTGGTTGAAAGAAGACATAAGCAAATGCTTGAAATAGCTAGAGCTCTTATGTTTCAATCAAGGGTACCATCAAAACTCTGGCCTTATTCTATCCTGATGGCAACATTCATAATAAATAGACTGCCTAGTTCTGCCCTAAACTGGAAAATACCATATGAGTTGCTGTACAAAAAAAGAGCAGATTATGATGATCTCAAAATTTTTGGGTGCTTGGTATATGCAACAAATATATCATGTCAGAGGGGAAAGTTCACTGAAAGGGCACACAAGTGTATCTTCATTGGATATGTACCAGGAACAAAGGGGTACAAGCTCTATGATATGGAAAAGAAGATGGTGCTGACATCTAGAGATGTGGTTTTTGTAGAGGAGGTATCACCCTATCTAAGTCAGACAGTTGAGGAGGGTGAAACACCACTTCCATCAATTTTCCAACTAGAGAAAGAAGTGAAAGAGTATGAAGATCAGAATACTCCTACTGAGATGGAGTGTGATCAACCAGTTGAGAACTCTCCAGAAAGAGTGGAACTGAGGAAAAGCTCAAGAAGTGTAACAAAACCCATATGGCAGCATGATTTCATAATGAATCAAGTGTCTTCAGAACCTAGCAAAGAGTATCTATGCTTTCTGAAAAATATAGAGGAAGAAAATGAGCCATTAAATTTTTTTGAGGCTCAACAGGATGAAAGATGGAAGAAGGCCATGAAGGAAGAACTACAGGCACTTGAAGAGAATGAAACTTGGGAACTGACTTACCTACCTGAAGGAAAAAGGGCCATCGGGTCAAAGTGGGTTTACAAGATCAAAAGAAACCCAAATGGGACAGTTGAAAGATTTAAAGCTCGATTGGTGGCAAAAGGATATAACCAGATAGAGGGTGTGGACTATGTTGACAGTTTCTCACCAGTGGCAAAAACAGTGACCGTGAGGATCCTAATAGCACTGGCAGGAACCAAAGGGTGGGGATTGCATCAACTAGACATCAATAATGCATTCCTACATGGTACACTAACTGAGCAAGTGTACATGAAAGTGCCAGAGGGATATAATTGTGAAGATAAGGACAGCGACAAGGTATGCTTGCTTAAAAAGAGCCTATATGGACTCAAACAAGCATCAAGAGAATGGAACCTTGAGCTTTGTTCTAAATTGATCCTATTTGGTTTTAGACAATCACCACATGATCATTGTCTTTTTACTTGGAAAAAAGATGATCATTTCATGGCATTACTAGTCTATGTGGATGATGTTCTTCTAACAGGGTCAAATGAAGAAGCAATCAGAAAACTGAAGAAGTTTCTTGATGAAGCATTCACTATAAAAGATCTCGGCTTTGCAAAATACTTCCTTGGAATTGAGATTGCTAGAAGCGAACAAGGGATCTACCTTAACCAAAGGAAGTATGTGCTCGATTTGTTGGAAACAACAGGCCTCAGCAACTGCAAATCAACTAACACACCTTTGCCACCGGGGATCAAGCTAACTGCAAATGGAGTTCATTTTGAGGATCCAGGAAAATACAAAAGGTTAATTGGGCAGCTGTTGTATCTAAACTTCACTAGAGCAGACATTACCTTTGCCGTTCAGCAATTAAGTCAATTCGTGACAAATCCAACCACTGAACACTGGGAGGCAGCCCTACACGTGGTGAGATATCTGAAAGGGAAGCCTTCTTCAGGCTTGTTCTACCCAAGAAACTCAGGAATGGAGCTTGTGGCCTATAGCGATGCTGACTGGGGAACATGTCCAGATACACGAAAGTCCGTCACAGGGTACTGCATCTTTCTTGGATCTGCACTAATTTCATGGAAAACAAAGAAACAAAACACAGTCTCTAGGTCATCAGCGGAAGCCGAATACAGGGCATTAGCTAGCACCGTGTGTGAAGTTCAGTGGATTATGTACATTGCTTCAGACTTGGGAATTAAAGTTGACATACCTGTCGAATTGTGGTGCGACAATCAGGCGGCAATCCACATAGCCGGAAACCCGGTGTTCCACGAGAGAACCAAACACCTAGATATAGATTGTCATCTCGTCAGGAACAAGTGCAAGGAGGGATTCATAAAGCTTGGGCATGTGTACACTGAGCATCAAATTGCAGATATCATGACAAAGTCGTTGGGGAGTGGAAATTTTCAAAAGTTGATGTGTAAGTTAGGCATGTTTGAATTTCAGAAAGCCTAACTTGAGAAGGGGGTGTGAAAAAATCGTCTTTTACCATTCTCACTTTTTATCTTAATTATTTTAATTTTTTTTTTTTAATTTTAGTTTCCTGGGACCACTAAAATGAAAGACATGTGTCCAAGGTTTATGGGGAGAGTCAGTTAGAGGAGGGAGAATGAGTGGGCTAAAAGCAACACATATGATGTATTTTCTGATTTTAAGTTTTTGGTGTGATGAAAAACTAACTTCACTGCTCTTCTTTATTTCTCATGGAAGACTCTTCTCTTCTCTTACAATTTACACAAAATTCACAAATAATAATAATAATAATAATACTTATATTTATTCTGCATCAGCTCATCATCTACAGCATAACAAGAACCCTAGATTTCAATATATTTGTCTGTGGAAAGAAAATGTCCGTGGGAGAGCTCGCGTGCACATATGCTTCCTTGATTCTCCACGACGATGGAATCGCTGTCACTGTAAACTTTGTTTCCAATTTCACTCATGGATATAGCCTAGATCGTGCGATTAAATCATATATTAATTTATTTTTTCCTTAGGCGGAGAAAATAGCGACGCTGGTGAAGGCGGCGAATCTGACGGTGGAGTCATACTGGCCGAGTCTATTTGCCAAGCTTTGTGAGAAAAGGGACATTGAGGATCTCATCACGAACGTTGGATCTGGCGGTGGTGCAGCCGTTGCAGTATCTGCTCCTGCCGCCGGATCTTCTGGCGGCGCAGCCGCAGCCGCAGCCACACCCGCCGCTGAGGAGAAGAAGGTGAGCATTTTACTTGCTTTTGCTTATATCAGTGTAATATGAATTTACCCGCAATTAGTAATGTGTAACAAAATTCAATGAAGATTGTGAAGGAGAGATAGAGTATCAGTGGAAATTATACGTTAAAATCAAAATTGATCCGTTGGTTTACAGCATAGAGCCGTTAAGCGAAACTAGAAACTATTTGCTCATGAGCTCAATTCAGGTCAAAGGAGCCAAGCTCGAGTTCTTTTAAAGTTAGTTTAGGCTCCATTTCAACTTGTTAATATTGATGAACACGCGGAGCTCATTTTACTTTCTATTGCTTATATCAATATGAATATGGATTTTCCGTAATTAGTAATGTGTAACAAATTTCAATTTGTAATTGCTAGCATAGTGTTGTTTAAAAAAAAAAAAAAATAGTCGCTCATGAGCTCAGTTCAGCTCAAAGGAGCCAAGATCGAGTTCTTTTAAAGTTGGTTTAGGCTCAGCTTGGCTCTACATCTACATCCCTGCCACTAGTATCAAGCCATATTGGTGTGCAAAAACATAACCTCTATGTACAGTGGAATGTAATAGTTGAAAGTTAAGTCCCTTCGGGGACATCCGATAAAATTGGAACGATACAAAGAAGATTAGCATGACCCCTGTGCAAGGATGACACACATAAATCGAGAAATAGTTGAAAGTTAAAACCATATGTTTTTTCTGGTTGTTGTATTGCTTATGTATTTCATGGTTGTTCGAATCGGTTAATAAGATCTGATTTAACTGAGTAGAAGGGTATATAATTTCTCCACCCCAGTTGATCTTATTATGTCTTGCTTCTTTAGTTGCTATATGTGAAATATTTACTCGTTTCTTTTGAACGTTGTTAATTCGATGATTTTGAGCTGAC